AGCAGCTCCAGAAGGTGTTGCAGTCCCAGATGGTGCTACAGCTGCTGCAAATTGCTCATGGGCCTGTGGCTCGGCCCCCCTCCTGCTCAGCCTCCTCATCCTCCAAGTCATCAGAGTCACTACTATCCTCACCAGCTGCCGCCAGCTCCTTACCAGTGGTTACTTTGTCTGCTCGAAACTTGCGGTCATTTTGGTACTAGCCCATCCACAGCCAGATTTTCGGGCACCCGAGCTTCCCTGCAAAGTTTAGTAACCAAAGAAGGGAAAAATAACCCATACTTTTTGACTGGACAGCGGGTGAACATCTCCTCATGAATCAATCCGGCCACGTCGAAGTTGTGACCATTAATGAAGCACCAAATCAAAGTTGCTTGGGGGCCATTTACCTCCGTAGTGTTGGATGACGAAATCAGACGGTTGTTGATAAGATACAACCAACACTTCCCTTCAAAGGTTAGTGCCGAGGAGTGAAACTTCTCACCATACTTCATCCAGACCACCTCCTTTTCAGGTACACAGATCATCTCAAAGAACCTCGCCCACTGCGTGTCAGATCGGCTATACCCCTTATAATATTCATCATAATGATCCACCAGAGGGGGCAGCTGATACGTCGTCCGAATAGCCTCAATAGAGGCATTCACTGCCTTTCTGCGCACCGTGACTACGCCATCGACATGCTCCTTCACATTGGCGTAAAATTCTCTAACCATCATTACATTGCCCTCGCCCGACTCGTCAATGAAAGTTTACAGCCCCCGCCTCACCAGCTCAGTGTACATGTGAAGGTAGCCCAGCTGGACCGATCCTATATCAATTCCCTTTTCCAGTATCGGCTTTTTAGAAGCCTTATCCGCAAAGCGGTCCTGAGCCTTGGCGGAGACAAATCTGTTACTATCAAAGGGGCGGGCATGGGCTGCCCCGCGTGCCTTGAACGAGCCAGCTTGGCTGCTAGAAGAGGCACCTGTGGCACGACGTTTCCGAGATGGAGCCATAGTGCCTGAAAAACGAGAGCACATTAGCACAACCCAACACAAAATTGTGACGCAATGCGGTTACTCAGACTTCACACGCATACGTGGTCACAACTACACAATTACGTTCACTGAGGCCTTTCCACAAACACCTTGTGGGCATTAGGCACTCACGCGCCATTTCACACATGTTAGAACCTCAACACCACTATAATATCCACCAAAATCACATACCAAGTGAGTCTACACTCCACCAATCTTACCACTCACAAACACTACAACCTATGTTACCAATTTTACTAATAAAAAAAAGAAAAACAACTACAAAAATGCAACACTACAAACCAAGAAATTCTGATAAAAAATTGAAAGAAAAGTAAAAATGGAACAAGGAACACATACATGCAGTGATAGATTGTGGGAAGAAGAGAAGAAAGTGGGGGGGGGGATGTGTCTTGAGACTTGGGTAAAGTGAGGGTGGGAATTTTTGAACAAGATAGTCGTTGAAGAAGAAGGGGTTAGGGTTGGGGAGGGTTTGCTGATTTGTTTTGATTTGGGCATTGGGTTTGGGATTAAAGAGGGGGGATGGGCTTATTAGAAGGGGGTAATTTAGGCTACATTAAAAAAATTAACATAAAAAAAAATACAACACAAAACTCACAGATGTGGGCGAAACTAGCGCGGTCGCGCTAGCCCAGGCATAACACAAGCCCATAAACGCGGCCACTAGTGCGATCGTGCTAGTAGCACGTTCAATAGTGTGGTCGCACTAATATTTTTGAGCTGAGGTAGAATACTTGCCCATATTCGAGGCCTGTAGTGCGGGTGTGCTCCTGGGCACAATATTTTTCATGTTTTTCACCTATTCTTACCACTTCTAATGGCCTTATCACCCGTCCATTATCACCTGCATTGGTTAGCATTTCCTAAATACTCACAATTAACAACTACTACCATCGTTGGGTTGTCTCCCATGCAGCGCCTGATTTAACGTCGCGGCACGACGCATGCTCGAAGCATCACTCCTCATTCACGTACTAGGGCTCTTCCAACATTATTATCTCCTGGTCCCCTTTCTCATTTTCCATTCCAAGGTAATGTTTCAACCTATGACCATTCACTGTGAACTTATTCGTCCCATCCTCTAATTTAATTTCAACAGCTCCACTTGGGAACATTTGCACCACTCTTAAGGGTCCTGGCCATCGGGACTTCAACTTACCCGGAAACAATCTCAATCTGGAGTTGTATAAAAACACTAGCTCTCCGTATTTGAAGTTTCGGTCCACGATGTGCTTGTCATGCATCAATTTCATCCGTTATTTGTATAATCTAGCACTCTCGAATGCTTGGAACCTGAATTCCTCTAGCTCATGTAACCCAGTGACTCTGTTAGTGCCTGTTGTCTCCATATCCAAGTTCAACTGCCGCAATGCCCAAAGTGCTTTGTGCTCAAGCTCTACCGGGAGGTGGCATGCCTTTCCAAACACCAACTTGTATGGTGACATACCAATTGGAGTTTTGAAGGCTGTGTAGTACGCCCACAATGCATCATCCAGCTTCCTTGCCCAATCAGTCCTTGTTGCATTCACTGTTTTTGTAAGGACACTTTTAATCTCCCTGTTGGACACTTCAACTTGCCCGCTAGCCTGTGGGTGGTACGGGGTGGTCACCTTATGATGAAGTCCATACTTTTCCAGTAGTCGTACGAATGCTCTATTACAGAAATAGGTTTTGCCATCACTGAGTATAGGTCTTGGGGTGCCAAAACGTGTGAAAATGTTCTTCTTCAGAAAGCCTGTTACCCCTTTAACATCATTGGTCGGGAGAGCCACTGCTTCGACCCACTTGGAGACGTAGTCAACTGCTACCAATATGTACTTGTTACCATATGAGTTGACAAATGGACCCATGAAGTCGATTCCCCACATGTCAAAAACCTCCACCTCTTGAATTATGGTCATTGGCATCTCGTGTCTGCAATATATATTGCGGTCCTTTGGCATTCATCGCAACTTTTGACCCAAGCATGGGCATCCTTGAACAGAGTTGGCCAATACAAGCCTGACTCCAACACCTTAGTTGTTGTCCGAATTCCTCCAAAGTGTCCACCATATGGTGAAGCATGGCAAGCCTACAAAACAGAATCTTGATCTTTCTCGGGGATACACCGTCGAATCATGTTATCTACACATATTTTAAATAATAAAGGTTCAACCCAATAATAAGACCGACAATCATGAAAGAACTTTTTCTTTTGAATTGAGGAGAGTTCATAAGGTACAATACCACTTGCTAAATAATTAGCAATGTCAGCATACCACGGTGCCTCCTCTATTGTCATTGCTAGTAACTGTTCATCCGGGAATGTCTCTGTTATATCCTCAACCTCTACCTTCTTTTTAGCTCCTTCCAACCTTGAGAGGTGGTCCGCTACTTGGTTCTCTGTCCCTTTTTTGTCACGTATTTCCAGATCGAATTCTTGTAACAGAAGAACCCAGTGAATCAAGCGTGGCTTTTACTCCTTCTTTTCTATCAGGTACCTAATTGCTGCATGGTCAGTGTAAATAATAACTTTTGAGCCAATCAAGTATGACCTGAATTTGTTGAATGCAAAAACGACAGCCAACATCTCCTTTTTCCGTCACGGTGTAATTGAGTTGTGCACCACTTAGCGTTCTGCTTGCATAGTAAATCGGGTGCATCAGTTTATCCTTTTGCTGCCCCAAGACTGCTCCTATAGCATAGTCACTTGCGTCACACATGAGCTCAAACGGTTGCTCCCAGTTGGGTGCAACAATGATGGGTGCAGTCACCAACCTATTCTTCAACTCCTCAAATGCCAACCTGCAATCATTAGAAAACACAAGGGGTGATCCTTTTCAAGGAGTTTGCATAACGGGTTAGCAATCTTTGAGAAATCTTTTATGAATCGCCTATAGAACCCGGCGTGCCCAAGGAAACTTCTCACTGCCCTAACTGAAGTAGGCGGTGGCAACTTCTCAATCACGTCAACCTTAGCATGGTCAACCGCGATTCCCTTCCTGGACACTCGATGCCCCAGGATTATCCCTTCTTGTACCATAAAATGTCACTTTTCCCAGTTCAGCACTAAATTTGTCTCCACATATCTTTCGAGCACTCTTCTTAAGTTGTAAAGACAGTCCTCGAATAAATCCCCCACCACAGAGAAATCATCCATAAAAATCTCCATAATGTCCTCCACCACGTCTATGAAAATGGCTAACATGCACCGTTGAAATGTCGTTGGTGCATTGTAAAGCCCAAAAGGCATTCTTCGAAAGGCAAAGATGCTATACGGATAAGTGAATGATATTTTCCCTCTGTCTTCGGGGGCTATTGAGATCTGATTGTACCCTGAATATCCATCCAACAAACAAAAGTGCGATCGCCCGGCGAGCCTGTCCAATATTTGGCTAATGAATGGCAGGGGAAGTGGTCCTTCCGGGTGGCTGTGTTCAATTTCCGGTAATCTATACAAATCCGCCATCCCGTGACTATACGAGTCGAGATCAACTTATTGTTCTCATTTTGTACGATCGTTATTCCCCCCCCCCTTTTCGGCACACATTGAACAGGGATGACCCAATTGCTGCCAGAGATGGGGAAGATGATTCCCGCATCTAACCATTTGATCACTTCCTTCTTCACTACCTCTTTCATATTCGGATTCAGCCTTCGTTGATGTTCTCTAGAAGGTTTGTGCCCTTCTTCCAAGAGAATATTGTGCATACAGAAGGTTGGGCTGATACCCTTTATGTCTGCCATGGTCCAACCAATGGCAGTCTTACATTCCTGTAGTACTTGTGGGAGCTTCTCTACCTGCACATCTAGAAAACCGGATGATATAATAATAGGCAAAGTAGAATCAGGCCCTATGAAAATGTACCTGAGGTGAGCTGGGAGTGGTTTCAGCTCCAGCTTGGGTGGTTCAACTACTGATGGTTTTGTCGGAGGTATAGCCCTTTTTTCTAACTCAAGGGACACGAACTGAGGTTCCCTTTTCTAGAATCCTTGGCCTTCAAGTGCCATGACCCACTCAGCCAACCCTTCACCATCCATATCCTCTAAATTTGTCATGTAGGCCTCCAGTGTATCTTTAGCAGTTAGGGTCACATCGTCTTCGTGTAGGATCACATCCACTGTCTCCATTAGGAAGCAATTAGCATATTCACTGGGTCTCCTCATGGATTGCTGAACATTGAATATGACTTTTTCATCGTTCAGCCTCATTTTTAATTCCCTAGTTTCACAATCGATCAGTGCTCTCCCAGTGGCTAAGAATGGCCTCCCTAAAATGATAGGTATCTCCTCATCTACCTGACAATCAAGAATAACAAAGTCTGCAGGGAACACAAACTTCCCCACGTGTACCAACACATCATCAAGAATCCCAGTTGGCCTTTTAACCGTGTGGTCAGCCAGTTGCAACAACATCGAAGTCGGTCTAGCTCTGCCAATGCCTAGTTTGGTGTATATAGCCAGAGGCATCAAATTTATGATGGCTCCTAAGTCACATAATGCCTTTGCAAAGGCATAACTCCCAATAGTGCATGGAATAGTAAAGCTACCCAGTCAGACATCTTTTGAGCCATGGGTCTTGTCACTACTGCGTTGCAGGTCTATGTTAGAGTTACTATGGATAGGTCCTGAAATCAAACTTTTGTGACATTAGGTCCTTCATCATCTTTGCATAGCCTGGTATCTCCTTCAAGGCATCCATCAGAGAAATATTCAACTGAATTTGACGCAGCATCTCCGTGAATTTCCTATATTGATCTTCTTTCTTTTGTTTTGCCAATCTCTGAGGGAATGGTGCAGGTATCACCCTTTGTGCACTGCTTGTTGGCTTCTCTCTGTTGGTATTCTGTGGCACAAGAGGTACCACCTGTTCTACAGCTTGTTCACTCACCTTAGCCTTACCCTTTTCATCCTGACCCTGTTCAACCGCCACTTTAGTAAGTTCTGCTAGTTCATCTACCTCTAATGGAACTGGAGTGACTGGCGTAGTCTCTTTACTGGCTTGTGGAACTTCTTGCTCTTTGTCTAAATCTCTCCCATTCTGGAGACTTACTCCCATCAGTTGATTCAGGTTTTGCTCCTTGGGGTTAATATTTGTGTCCGCTGGCAATGTTCCCTGGGGAAGGTTGTTTAAAGCAATAGACAGCTGCCCCAACTGAGTTTCAATGTTCTTTATTGCTAAATCATGCACTGTCAACTTTTCCTGCATCTTACCATTTGTTCCAATGAGTTGTTGAAGCATACCCTCTCTATCATGTTATAATGTTTTAAGCGTTAATACCACACAAGAGGGGGTGATTTGTGTGGTGTCCAATTTTCGCTATAGAAGAACCTGGTTCTTCTAGGTATTCTAACTACTACTGTTTGCATAATAAGTACATAAAATAAAGAACACAGAGATTTTTATGTGGAAAACACTTGGCTCAAAAGGTGAAAAAAACACGACCTACTACTTAGTAGGATTTTTCCAAACTTCCACTAAAATCACTAAGCCAAAACAGCATTTACAAAAACTCTTTGTAAACCTAAAAATTAACTCTAATCCCGTTGTGGCACACAGCCTCAACTGTTGCGACAACTTCAAATTATCTATAACTTGAACACTCTAGGTACCTAATACAATTGCTTTTATAAAAGCTAAAAGGTACAACTTTAAACCACCTACTACAATTGAACTAGAATAAAAGAAAGACACAATGGAACTAGTTCTTCTATCTCGTTCAAGTAGCTTCAGGAGTGCACACTCAAATCTCATATAAATTGCTTGCAAAATCGCCTTGCTCTTTTGCTCTCAATTTAGTTTAACTTCTGCGTTTGTGCAATACCTGTAAAAGAGAATAACTACTGTCATGTAATAGGTTAGTAATCAGAGTTTGATTGGGACTCAATTGTTGATCTTCTATCGTAGTTGAGTCCTTGGAGATCTCAAACTCCAACACTATCTTTATCCTGGATTATGTTCTTTTCATATAAGGAGACTTTCTCACCTTATCCAATATGCAACCTTTTCGAACAGATCAGGAGATATTGCTGCTTGATCAGTAGGACTTATCTCCTTCACGTATATAGGTTGATCATGACTTTGCTTTACAAGATGAACATAGTCCATGACTGAGTTCATTTGTCATTCTTCAAAACTTCACCTGTTCTTTGGCCAACAAATTCCCCCTTTTGGATGATGACAAACTCTGTGCTTTTTACTGGTTTGGAACCTGTAAGAACTCAGCTTAACCTCAACACTAAACTTAAAAAATTTAGTTATCATCAAGGACCAGGTTAATTAGGTTATAAATATCACTTATTTCAGAACGTGTAAAGCACAATATCTCTTCCCCCTTTTGGCATCATCGAAAAGTTGCATACAAAATGTGAATGCCAGATTTTAATAAGTACTCATAGCCACTGGGGCAACTTCAAGTGCAATCATGGTGCAATCATCAGTAATCAAACAAACATATTTAAACTATCAAGGACAGATTAATCATTGAACAAGAGAAAGACAACAGTTGTCATTGATAGAGATATATTGCCACCAACAATCCACAAAGAGAAAGAAAAACATTCAAACCATGAGCAAAAAGCAGAAAAATCCCTAATCTGGTTCATTGGAGGTACTAAACAAGTTCAGGAGACAGAAGCTAGGAGTCATAAGGCTTGGAGGAACTAGAGGGTTGGGGTTAAGTTTGGAGAAGATTCAGCATGTTCTTAAGAATTCCATCATTCTTCTCCTTTTCTTTGGAAAGCTCAGTTCTGAGACCATCCCTCTCAGTTTCCACTTCAACCACACGAGCCTTGAGCCTAGCAATTTCAGCATCCTTAGCTGCACATTCCTGAACAAGAGTCCTAACTTGCTGTTGATGGGTGTCTTCAGAGATGAACCAGGTTCAATTGGGATGGCATTGACTGGATAGTCACATGCAAGAAGAGTTTTGATGCCAAAGTGTTCCTTGCTAGAGTCCATTTCTCATTTCTTCAGAGGCACATTTAGCTTGTCCAGAACTGTGGTTAGTATGAAGCCATATGGAGTAGCATGAGCCTTGGAGCCATTTATGACCATGTCTAGCAATTTGATAATGAAGGTAGGCCAGTTGATTTGCTTTCCTCTATCTAGGCACTCCATAAGAACTAGATCCATATAGTTAGCAGTGTGCCTTCTCTCCTGTCTGGGCAATAAGCACTTGTTGACAAATTCAAACACAACCTTGTGCTCAAGCCTCATCTCACTTTTCTGCATAGCCCTGGCTTCATTCACCTCTTCTGAATCACGAAACCTCTTGGTGATTTCAAGGGCAGTAGGGAGGGAGTCCAGGCATGGCCACCTTTGCCTTGTATAGTCATCAAACCCTTTAGAGGGTATGTCCAGGATCTCTCCCAGTTTCTCTGCATCAAACTGCACTTGGACTCCTTTCACCAGGCTACTAACAACTTCATCCTTAATAGCAGCATTGGCCATAAATTCAAAAACTTTTGATTATTTGGTTTTCACTGCAGATCTTGTCCTCTTGGATAGTGTGGGTTCAGCAGCCACTGGCACAGAGGAAGACTTCTTGGAGGGAGTCTTGGGATTTTTAGGCTTAGGTGTAGGAACCTCCATTGTTGTACCCCTTTCTTGATGGACTAGTTCTATCTCCTCTTCCTCAACAGCCTCTGAGGATTCTGCAATCTTTCCCTTTCTCTTATCCATTTTCTTTTTCTTACTTTCTTCTAAGGCCTTTTATAGATCAGCTTCACTCTGTTTTACCCTGCTTCTTGTGGCTCTACCCCTAGGCACTGAAGAGGCAGTATGTGTTGGGGATGAAGCTTTTCTTTTCTTGGAAGGCTTGGGAATATTTGGGGATTTTGTTGTAGGAGTTCTGCATTTCTTTGGGTCATAGCTTGCCCCAACCTTTTTCAGAAGATCAGCCAGGGTCTCTTCAGTAGATGAAACAGGTTCATCTCTCTATTTGCTCAGATGAACCAACCCCTCAGCAGCTTCCCCAAAATCACTTCCCCCTGACTTTAGGCCACTCGCTTCTACCCTTTCATGTTCAACCCCATAAATAGCAGGTACTACACTCTTCCCAATTCCCATCGCTTCACCACATGCACCCTCTCTCTCTTTTTATTTTTCATAATTTTTTTACCTCAACTCCTACGTTTCTCAGGCAATTCAACATCCCTAATTGGTCCAATCAGAACAAATCTAGTCTCTAAGTTTTCAATCACATATTAACTTACCTCAGTAGGAGATTCTTGAGTCTTCTCAGAGTCAGAAGACCCATGTCCTCCCCCCCCCCCAGTCGCGGATTGATAGGATTCAGACTCAAAGCTGGAGTTGGAATTTGGAGCTTGGCTTTCTTTCATTTGGCTTGCTTTCAACCTTTCATTTAAAGCCTTCCTCAGAGCCCCAAATGCTACAGTCTTTAGAGCAAGCATTTTCACCCTTCGTAGTCTAGGTTTTGGAGAGACACTGGATGGAATAGATGAGGATAAATTTGAGGGAGATGGTGATGGAGGAGTTTCAGGATTTTCTTGTGGGTTAGACATGATTGTTGATTTTTTGAAATAATTTGGGAATTTTGGAGAAGAGGGCAGGTAATAGTGAAGACAAGTTTTTGACGGTTTGGAGCTATGATGAAGGCTGTAGAATTGATGTGTATTTAAAGGGAATTACACATTTAATAAGTAACGGCAACCTTTTACAATGGTCAAATAGGAGTCTAATCAACCTGAAATTCCAGATTTTGAATGATCTATTTGGCTTCCCTAGATATTAGGCAAAAATTACGGCTTAGAGTTCTAAGTGTACGGAACTGGTTCAATGTTGACAGATAGAATTTTCTAGGAATTTGACTCGTAACCGGACCGGCCCAGACCGGTGCATAGGGGGCCGGGTGGGGCTGGGCAGGAGGGGTTGGTCCGTTTATTTTTTTGTAACGGTTAACCGGACTGATCAAACCCGGTCCACGTGAACCGTGTCGTGTACCGGTTTAACCGCCCTGGACCGGACAGGTACAACGGCTATTTCTTTTTTTTCTTTTTTTTTAATTCTTTGAAATCAGTGGGGCCCACTAACCGTTGGCAACGGTCATCCCTGGCAGGGATCCGTTGCTTAACACCCTTAATTGCATTAATAGCCTCTTTTTTCCTTAAAATTTAACCTTTTTCAATTTACAAAATTAACCTTCTCTAAAACTATAAATACCCCTCCTCTTCTTCCTCATTTCTTCACTCATCTCTCAATTCTCATTTCTCAATCTCAATTCTCAAATCTCAATTCAAGTTAAATCATGCCTCGTACTTCTAGAGTGCGCTCATATGTTTGGCAACACTTTGAGGTGGTAGAAGAAAATGAAGAAGGTCGGAAAGTAAAGTGCAAGAACTGTGGTCAAGTTTTAAATCTTCGCTCAGGGTCTGGCACAGGCAGTTTAAGGAGGCATATAAAGTATTGTCTTGAGCGTCCTCCGGAAATTCGTATTTAAGATTTTAAGACAATTTGTGTTATTTTAAAATTATTAGACGTATTTATGCTTAATGTTTTAGTTTGTTAGATTAATATGAAGTATTATTAATTTATTATGCATGAAAATTTGGTGCAATTTTTTTTTATCTTCCTTGTGTTCTTCAAATTAATACAAAGTATTAATATAACTTACAATAGTTATACAAAATACAAAAAAAAAAAAAAAATACACTAAAACCGGCCCGGCCCCCTCAACCCGTAACTCTTACGGTTCAATTTTTACCCGGATGAATCCGAACCCGTTAAACCCGTTAAGCCCCAACCCGTAACCTGCCCGGACCATAACCCGTACGGGTCAAAAAAATCCCAACCCGGCCCCCCCGTTTAACACCCTTAGTTCTAACCTATTATATCCGTGAAAATGGCATGGGCGAGCCAGTTTTCGAACTGGTAATTGAAAAATAACCAACTTTTGTAAGTCATTAAAAATGATCATTATTATGCTGAAACACGAAAAGTTCCAGCATAATATGTTGTATTATGGAGCTCCTGCGTATAAACTTCCAGCATATTATGTTGGAACTACAACATATTATGAAATTCCAGCACATTATGTTGGTTTTTATATGTATAAAATTCGAACTCCAGCATATTGTGCCAGATATTTTTTGGATTTTAAGAGTATTTTTGTTCAGATTTTATCTTTACATAAAAAAGTGACTAAATTTTGATTATTTTTGAAACCTTGACTATTTTTCAATACTATTTCTGATTTTTCCCCCCGTTATATCCTTTAATACAAAAATAGTACAATTTTTTTAAAAAAAAAACTCCAACTTCACTCCCTCCAAACCGTCCCCCTTCTCTTTTGGCGGGAAAATCCCTTTCTCAGTTCCTAACATTTTTGCCCTCTTTCTTCAATCTTCTCCGATGACCTAGTTAAAAGATTTTGATATGCATGTATCAACAGTTGTGCCTTTTGCGAAGATTAAGTATGATTTATTGAGTTTTAACATTCTCGTTAACAATAATGGAAATCTCATTTTTAATAACATGATGGAGTCATGCATGTAGGTTGTCAAATACTTTGTTATAATCAGCAGAGAATTATTGAATATGCATTATTTTCTAATTATTTAATTTGCCATTCAACTAACCATGTGAGGTAAGGGCTGAGATACAATTCTTTTAATCCTTGTAAGTTGTCAAACTAAAGATTTTTCTCTTAAAACGAAAGAACAATCTTTAGTTAGAATTGTTCTTTCGTGACAATTATTATTTTTTATAGTTCCAAAATAACGCAATTATGTTGATATGTTAATTAATAGTTGTTGGTTTAATAACTTCTAGTAATTATTTATAGCACAAACTTAGAGTTTTATCTCCAGATGGCATCCGTAGAGATAGCTGAAGTTTAGCTAACAATTTGATGAATTAGTAAAAGTTACTATAAAAAGGAAATAAAAGGTGTCCAAGTAACAGTAACTGTCTTGGACTAGGAAATGATACTATAAAATGTACAAATTTCATTGCGTCCAATCACAGGGCCGTGTGATAGGTGTACATATAATTGGTCGAAATAATTAAATAATTATTTTTAATTATTTATGTTCTATTGAATGGGATAGTCGTGGTCTCGCGTGGAGGGAAAAATGAAGAAAAAGAAAGAGCTTAGTAAGATTTAAATTTTACAGTTGCAGCTAACATAGTATATAGTAATAGTACTACGTAGTAGTTTTACAACTAAGTTACCAGGCAACCCTTGTTTTGTATTGCGCTTCTGACATAAGCAATACAGCTGTTTAAGTTGGCACGCGTTGTAGTTTTGTCGAGAGCAAAACTCACCAATATTTGCACAAGTGACCTATTTGTGTACGAGATATTTGCAGATACCCAACAAAATAATCAAGTCTCTGTAATCAAATTCATTGCCCATTGTAAAAGCAATTTTGGGCTAGTCTAGTTAACAGACAAAACTTCGTATAGTATAATCAACAAAGGAAATAAAAGAAAATGAGTTGGAAAAAGAAACAAAAAGAAAACAAAGTTTTTAACCAAATATCCTACCTAAAGCTCTCAGTTCGCTTCTCCTTATAGCAGGCTCTCGCAGAAAATGTTGGACAGGGCTTCTCAAACTCTTGAATTCACTGTTGGCTCTCTTCAAAAGGAATAATCTCCTCAGTAACATTTATTATTTCCTCAACTTCAACTTCCTTTGCCTCGTATTCCTCCTCTTCGTCACTGGCTTCTCCATCACGCAACTTCTCCCTCTCCATTTTCTCCTCTTCGTGCAGCCGCTTCCACTCGTTAATCCATGCTTCCCATTCTTCTTTCAACTTCTTCCGCTTTTCACGATCTTGCTCACTCAATTGCAATGAAACATCCTGATCCTCTGCCTCATACTTCTTGCTGTATCTCTTCAAGTTCTTAGCGATCTCTTCCTCTTTCTCCTTGCTCAAGAAAGATGGTGGCCTGGGGCGCCACAAATACTGCAGCAAACAAGAAGCATTTGCTATATTGATGAGTATCCAGTAGGTCATGTAATGAATATAAGCATGTTCCTTCCAAAAAACAGGCGTAGCCAAGCAGAGCATACAACCACATAGCAAATACGAGACAACAGGGAAATTGCGTCAAATATACATTAGCAGCATTCGAAAGATAACAGAAAATCAGTAATTGCCCGTTCTGCGACTGCATAGTAAAAGCTGCAGCGAACCCTTAGTACTGAGATTACACAAGTCCTAGAACATCAACTAACACAAAACCAGCCCTAGAGCATCAAATATAGCATGTAAGAAACGCATATCCGCGGGGAGAGGGGGGGCTAAGGATCAGTAACCATCCCAAACATATAGTAANCAAAGGTTCATTAGAAAATAAACAGAAACTAACCTGTGGATGTGCATAGCGCATCAGACGGTTGAAAGTGGTGGCACCACCCCAAATTGCAGCACCTTGTCTGTGAACTGTTGCCAAATACGTTCCCAGAGGGGACCATTGAACAAAACTCTCAGTCCAGAACTGCACTCAAAGGACATCGTTAGCAAAAGTTTCGTAATTACCCATCTTCATAAAAGAAAAAAATATCTTTTAAAGAAACAGTTTCTGTGCAAGACCCATTTCGAATTCTGAAAATATGAGACACTAAACAGTACCAAAAAAC